ATGGGACAAACACATATATGTTATAATTAAGAGAGTGTTGTTATAATTAATATATTTTTTTAACTCTTTTGTTTTGGGAAAATTTTTTTCTATAAAATTTATATGGAGTTCTATTAACACATGAATCAATCTCTTCACATGGTATTAGATTGATTTCATATGTGGCTTCATCTTATAATGCAGGCTTAATATTTCTTATTTTTGTTATCTTTTGGGTTAAGTTTAATGTTTCTTTTTTCTTATTTTGGTCAATGTAAGGTTAGAAAATATCTATATATTTTTATTTTATTTGAAAATAATTTTCAAAATTTTTAAAAATTACTTTTTTGGAAATTTTTAAAAGTGGGTTATTTAAAAAAAAAATCTTAAAAACAATTTGAAGAAACTAATTGGTCAAACAGTTTTTGAAGTTCTTAAAAGTGGCTGCATAGAAAACAAAAACTTAAAAGGAAAAAAGTTAGGTAAAATAGAATCAGTGGTGGATGAGTTTGACTTAGAAATGTTACGAATAATATTGGCTTTTAATTTTGAATAGGGACCAACTTCTTTAAAACTTGATGAACACTAGATGCTTTTCATGTCGATATTTATTTTATAAATTAATAATTTAAATTTTGTCTAACTTCTTATAAATCAAACTCATTATTTAGTGAGTTAATAAGTGGATAAAATTTAAATTATTGATTAAATACAATCAACACTTGTTTATTCTTTCTCTAGAAACTATACTATGCATGCATACATAAATAATTAACGAGGGGTTCCGCAAGTGTCCGTGGGTAGCGACGGATCCAGGATTATAATTTTGGAGACTACTCTATATAATTTTTAAATTATCTAAAAAAAAATTGGAGCACAAATTTTTGTAATTTTAAAAATTATAATATAATATATGATATTTTTAAAATTTTTGGGATAGCCCCTTATATCCATCATTGTCCGTGGGGTAGCAATCATATCAGACATTCTTTTGAAAACATCATTATCATGCATTATATCAGTGGATGTTTGTTTATAAAGCCATTTTGCACGTTTGGTGCATACCAAAAATCATACAATTCTATTTGTTAATTAAATCTGATATGTCTTCTTCTGGTTCAAGGAAAAGAAAGAAAGAAAGAAAGAAGAAAAAAAAAATCTTAGTATGTTATAAACTCAAAAAATATATTGACTATGTTTTTAGATTGAAGAGGGTTATTTGGGCCCGTGAGGCTCATCACGTGTTTCATTTTAATAATTTAAATTATTTATTTTATTGAGCACTTCATATATTTTATTCACAAAAAAAAATTAAGTTGATTGATAATAATAATTTGTTTAATTTATCGTGTTTTTTATTAAAAAAATGGATGGCAATTGTGTTTTTAAAAAACTAATTAGTGTGCTTGATTTTAGTTTTTTGAATTCAGTTTTTTGAAAATTGAGTTTTTTGTTTTTAGTGAATACTTTTTAAATTTTAAGTAATTTATTTACTTTTTTTGACGCACCTTACTTAAATATTTCTCAATAGTAAAATATTTATGAAAAAATATTTTAAAAAATTAATAAATATACAAAAATACAAAAATTGTATTGAATTTTAGTATTTTTTTAAATATATTTTTTGGTATTTAGTGTATTTTTTAAAGATTTTTTTCACAAATGTTATACTTTTTAAGTGTATTTATGTTAGGTGTGTCTAAAAATTTAAAAAAATTAATTAAAATATTAAAAAAAATCATTGAAAACATTAAAATACGGAAAAGAAAAAATTAGAATTTTCTGAAAACTGTTTTCTTAAAACTAGAACCAAACAAGCCAAATCATACTCTCTTTTTTTATGACAAAAGTAATAAATTAAACAAATAACAGTTATCGGATCGACCTAATTTTTTTTTGGAGATAAAATATATGAAGTACGAGACATAATGAACGGTTTGAATCATCGAAATGGTCTAGATTTTAGACTGAAGAGAATCTACCTCCTAAAATTTAATATTTATGGCCAAGATTTAGTCAATATATGGCCCCAAAATAGTAAGTTCAAATTTACACCGTTGATATGAAATTCTTAATACTTTTCTGATTTTTTTTTCTAATAGTATAGACCTTTTTGGACACATATTCCATTAATATAAAATTTATCATTGATGTATAATTATTTTTCTGCATTTACACTTAATAATAATTTTTTCTTAATATTTAATGTGCAAAATCAATCACAGAAGTTAAAGCCCCTAGCCATGTTGTTGATTAGTCAACATTTTCAAAGCCAATTGTGCAAAATAAGTTCACTCCTTGCCGTGGATTTTAAGATGAAAAAAAAAGGGTAAATTGCGCTAACATTTTTTGAGATTTGGTTTAATTATATTTTATCTTTTGATATTTAAAAAATTATATTCTCACTTCTATAATTAATAATCTCCTTTTACAAACTCTCTGCTGATATAAAAGGTAACAATTACTAATAGAAAAATAAAGAAAATCACATTTTAAAAAAATAAATAAATAAAGTAAAGGAAAGGGGAAAAAAAAACCCAAAGAAAGTGAAGCAAAACAAGAAAAGAGAGAGTGAATGAGTTCAATGTCTTCATTCCGTCTAAATAATTACAATGACAATGGGTTAGTGTAATTTCTCAAATGTCAGGAGATAATATGTATTAAAGCCAAATATCAGGGGTGTAAATGTAATTTATCCAAAAAAACAAATGGGTTGTCATACCCGACTTGGCCCAATTAACCGATGTAATGTAAGCATTTCAATCATAGTGGGCCTAAGCAATGGATCGGTCCGTGCTTTAATTGGGCCTGAGAGCCAGAAAATGATTTGTGATTTTGGTACACTACTGCAATCCTGATAAAAAAACTGAGATATCACAGTATATAATAAATATAAATAAATAAATAAAAGGAGGATTTTTTTTAAGGTCCCTAATAATAACAATTTAGAGGATAAAGGACACCCAAAAAGATAGTCATGCATCAGGTCCCTGAAACAACTTGGCGCGCGTTTTTAATTATTTTGTGGACCAAAATACCCTTGCCAAAATCAACACAGAAACAAACTCATTCCGACATCTGAGTTATATTCCAAACATCCAGCATCTTCACGAACAGAAGAACAGCAGAATTAGGGTTTCAACATCATCTACACCATCGACATTAGAGCTTCGTTATCTTCTCCAAAAATCATTCCCATTCCTTCCTCACAAATTTCTCTGACCTAGGTTAAAGCTTCGTTTTCACTGCTCATCATCATCTCAGTCCATCTTCGTCACGTCGCATCTTTATCTCCGGCCATATCAGCTCATCATTCAAGTTTCATCCTAACTCTAGTCAGTTTTTCTACAATACAACTAGATTTTCTCTGGAAACACAGTTAATAGCATTTTATAATAACCTTCCATAAATTAGGGTTTCAATTTCGTAATAAAAAGCTACCTGAATTTGGAAAAAGTTATTTCTGTGTGTTTTGAACTTATTCTTCAACATGTTTGTGTGATTTTATCTGCAAATTTCTCTGGCATTTGAATTTCTCTGATTTTTTATTAATGTACGTTTCTTCTTTCAATTTTCTCTAGCATGTTTATTTTCACAAAAACAATTTTCTATGTTTTTATCTTATTCTTGAACATGTTTCTGTAATTTTTTCTATAAATTTTCCTGCTCCCTAAATTTCTCTGTAATATGTATTTTTAATTGGAATGTCTATCTTAATCTGGAATGTCTATTGCTTTCTTGCTTCTGTCTTAAGTTTCTCTGGTATTTATAATTTTCTCTGACCACATCACATCATTTTCCTCCCTTGTGTGTCTTTGTCATTTTTAATTTTCTCTGGAATTTTAATATTATGGACTGGAATGAATGTTTCTTCTTTGAATTTTCTCTGCCATGTGTACTTTGAGAAAAAGTTATTTCTCTGAATTTTGATCTTATTCTTGAACATGTTTCTGTGATTTTGTCTATGAATTTCTCTGCTTTGTAAATTTCTCTGGAATATGTATTTTTCTCTACAATGTCTATTACACTCTTGCCCCTGTCTAAGTTTCTCTAGTATTTATAATTTTCTCTGACCACATCACACCACTTTCCTCCCTTGAGTGTCTCTATCATGGTTAATTTTCTCTAGTTGTGTATGTAAATTTCTCTTGCATTTTAATATTATGAATTGAAATTTTCTCTGGAATGGAAATTTCCACAAGAATGTGTAATTTTCTCCAGAATGTGCATTTTTCTCTGGTATGTTTATTTTGTTCAATTCTTGATTTCAATATAGTGTAATTCTCAGTGACATGTTTACATTACCTTGTTTATTTTATCTTTGCTAATTGTGGAATGGAAATTTTCTTTCGCTTGCCATGTTTACTTTTTTCTATCATTCATTTTCTCTGGTATGTTTACTTCTATATGTAATTTAAACAATTATTGAAAATTTCTCTCCCATGTTTATAATGCTGTGTTGATTTTCTCTGACATCTAATTTTTAATGTCTAATTTTCTCTGGCATGTCAAATTTTCTCTGGCATGTCCAATTTTTTATAATTTTCCCTTATCTATAATTTTCTCTGCCATCTCCAATTTTCTCTTTTCTGTAATTTTCTCTCTTATCTGTAATTTTCTCTGACATGTCCATTTTTCTCTGGGATTTAATGTTGACATCTCTATGTTTTAATCATTGTCTAGAAATGGCAAAACGTAAAAGCAACGAAACATCGGAAACACCAAGCAAAAAATAGAAACTCTCTCAGTCTTCTTATGGACTAAGATAAAAAATCAGCAGCAAAACACTAGAAACACCAAGCAAGAAAGAACAACTCTCTCAGTCTATTGATACATGTATATATTATTTATCTATTCAATAAATTAAATATTAAAATCTGAAAGGGATATTTTTCACCTTTTAGTAAAAATATAAGAATTATTTTTGTAAAATTAAAATTGATTAAATCAGCCAATTCAATTCACCTTATCCGTTCACGAATTTCGAAACCCAAAGTAGTCGGATGCAAATAAGAATTTCTCAGCCCAAACTACAATCTGACCGAACCCAAGCACTCCTACTCTCACCTCATTTCAGCGATTTACACCCTATTCTAAAAATTGCGTTGACAATCCAGATGGTTGTAGGCCACTTATCTCTCACCTTCACATATTGAAAAACTTCATCAATTATCAAAAGACTCCATGCTCACCCTTCATCCAAATTACCTCAAGCCATGGCAGTGTCACCCATCAACACCAAACCAACCCAGAAATCCCCGCTTCTCTCTCCTACCCAAATCCAGAACTCTTCATTCAAGAACCATCACATCAAACACCCTCCATGAAAACAACCAAACAACACAACCCTCCTCAGCAAGCAAAATCAAACGCCTAGTTCTCAGCCCAGAGGGCAGAACCAAACTCAACACGTACCCTGACCGAGATTTCTATGCCTTCCCTCGCTTTGTCACCCATGTCGACGACAACTTTATTGCCACATTGACTGAACTTTACAGAGAAAGGTTGAGCCCTGGCTCAGAGATTCTTGACCTTGCTAGCTCATGGGTTAGCCATCTACCCAAAGAAGTTGAGTACAAAAGAGTGGTGGGACATGGGCTCAATGCACAAGAGCTTGCCAAGAACCCAAGGCTTGATTATTTTTTCGTCAAGGATCTTAATTGTGATCAGAAACTTGAATTGGAGAGTGGCTGTTTGGATGCTGTGTTATGCACTGTTAGCGTGCAGTATCTTCAGCAGCCAGAAAAGGTAATTCACGAATCACGATTAATGATAGGAACACAGAATCTGATCATAGAACTGGACATAGAATGCTATGCTATGTAACTAATTTATGTGTATGTGTAAAGTTCAACTGTTAATTCACCAAAATTGATATGTGATGTGGCCTTGGTAATTCAAGGGGAAATTGAAGTTCATCATTCTCTGAAATTGCTACCCTCGACAATTTTCTTCTCTGTCAAAATGACAAATGTAAGAGAGACAACTTTGTAAGATTAAACAAATGCCTACAATAGAACTGAAACTTGGGAAAGATTTGGGTGGTTTGGATCTTTTAAATTCAGAGTGTCAGGTTCATTGTAAAGTAAAATATTTTTATTTACGATTTCCATGTAAATATTTGGTTCAATATAAAATCTACTTTACAATTAATTTGAATAGGAATAATTCACTGCAGGAGTAAGGCCTAGCTGAGTTGAGTGCAAGTTTTGGAACTGAATTTCAAGACTAACTATTAGATGTAATGTAGACTAAAGTTAAATATTTTGCAGGTGTTTGCAGAGGTGTTTCGGGTGCTGAGGCCAGGTGGAGTGTTCATAGTTAGCTTCAGTAATCGAATGTTCTATGAAAAAGCCATCGGTGCATGGAGAGAGGGGACTGCGTACAGTCGGGTACAACTGGTCATGCAGTACTTCCAGTGCATTGAAGGATTTACAGAGCCAGAAATTGTTCGGAAATTGCCAGCCACTGGTGGTGCTCAAGGGGACAGATCGCCTTTCGGTTGGATCATGAGATTGTTGGGATTGTCTTCTGGGTCAGACTCTTTCTATGCAGTGATCGCTTACAAGAACTTCAAACCCATACACGAATGAATCCCTTTTATTTCTGAGAACACATATCAGATTGCTTATCGCTGAATACAAAGTCATGTGTATTTATTAATGTGTGTGCTCAAATATCTTTTGTGTTTAGTGTTAAAAAAAAGTCGTGTAAAATTTCGTTTAATGTATAATAGTACTCTTAAATACTTGAATGCTTCTTCATTGTGGGAGAGATTTTGGCATTAACTATCATCCAACCTCTGCTAATAGTTCAAAAGCAAACAATTATAAGCTTAACAAAAAGCAGTCATGATCAGGAATGCAATCTTCATGATTGAATGTAAAAACGAGTCCATGGATTGAGGAACACAAAGTTTTCGTGTGCCAATCATTGTATTTTGTCATTTGTTCATTGTTATTTCCATAGTTCTAGCTATATAAACATACTGCCCCCTTTTATTTAAGGAGTACATGATTAATATGATATTTCAAAAAAATTAATAAATTAATCGTCAAAATGATTAATAGTTAAGTAGTTTTAACGATAGATCGCGCAGGCTTCAAGAATGACTCAATGATATGATGAGAAGCACATTCCTAAATCCTAAGTTATGGGAATGCAAAACTCATTTCAAACCCCTGTACATGTTTTCACAGCAGACTATTCTCATAACTTAAGTGTTAGGGAGAGTGAATGAAAAGAAAATTGAGGGCCTGTAATGAGAAGAATTAATATTTCATGGGCCTTCAAAGTATTACTCATAAATTACGGGTCTTTTTGAAAAAAACAAAAAATTGGGGGTAGGAGGATCATCTCTCTCCAAACCTAGAATATCTTATCCCTGCAGACCAAACTGTGACCCTCCCTCCCCCTTATCTTCTCTCTCTCTCTCTCTCTCTCTCTCTAACCCTCTGTAGAAATGACTTGTGCTATCAAACCATTGTCAATGGCCGAGTGTTGTATAATAACCTCTGTTCCAGCACTATTCACTTCCAAAACCCAACACCCATTACTCTCAATCCCCTCAAAAACAATCAAACTCACCCATCTCTCATGCTCATTATCATCTCTTTCTGCTTCATTCCCTTCATCTTTATGGGTCTCTCTCAGACCTAAGATTACATCATCATCGGGTGTGGTCTCGTTCGTTGCGCAGACCTCAGATTGGGCCCAACAAGAGGGCGAAGAACAGAACCCAATTGATGGGTTCAAGTGGGGAGACGAGACTTTGGCGGAAACGGAGGCCACTGCTACTTCTTGGGAAGGTGAGGGTGGAGAAGATAGAGGAGAGGGAATCAGAGATGGTGGGGTTTTGGAGGAGAGTGAAGAAGAGTCCTATCCTGAGCCATCTGAAGAGGCTAAGATTTTTGTTGGGAATTTGCCTTATGACATTGATAGTGAGAAATTGGCTCAGCTTTTTGATCAGGCTGGTATTGTTGAGATTGCTGAGGTATAATAATCTCTGTGTTTCTCTGTGTGTGATTATTGGAAATTGGGAATTTTGAGGGATGTGATTATGATGATCATTAGGTGGTTTTGATTGTAGGTAATTTACAATAGGGAAACGGATCAGAGTCGAGGTTTTGGATTCGTAACAATGAGTACTGTCGAAGAAGCTGAGAAGGCTGTTGAGATGTTCCACCGTTATGTAAGTTTGATCCTTTTCTATTCATCTTTTTTGGGTTTCTCTGTTTGGCACTTCAATTTGGAGTCATGCTAAAGATAGAATTATTTGTTCCTTTGTCATTGTTATCGGTAAATTATATTTCAAGCTTGATTCTTTTGTGAAAGATTTGAATTTTTAGTTTGCTGTAGTGGATAGCTATGTGCTAGGTATCCAGTTCTCTTAATTGCAATGCGGTGTTTTGACAACACATTAAACAACACTTTAAATTGACAATCCCACTACATCCCCTAATTTAGCACCCCCAATGACGTGACTAAGACCATGTGAGCAGTCCCACACTCCTCTCTCTCATATTCAGCCCCTCTAATTTCACGTCAACAACTTCTTTGTGAAAGTCTTGGTTGGCCTTCCTATTATGCATCTTTTTTGTCATCATTTCATTCTGATTTTTAAATTCCTTTACCTTTTTGGTGCTTAATTTATTTAGATCTCCTGATAGCTCAGTTTGCCAGTACATTTTCTTTCGCCATGTTCTGGCTAACTAATTTTAGTGCTTAATTTATTTAGATCTCCTGATAGCTTAGTTTGCGAGTACATTTTCTTTCGCCATGTCCTGGCTAACTAATTGTAAGTTTAAGGGTGTGTCTCCTAACAAGCCTTTGTATCCATAGCCCATAAATTTGCAGGCAAATATATGGTTGCAGAAAATGGGTTGGTAGCTTGATCGAAATACAATGTTTTCAATGGTCCAACTGTGCTTCAATAATCTCTTCTTCTTGGATTAGTTTATCAAAAAAAAAAAAAAATCTCTTCTTCTTGGATTAAAAAAGAATAGGGATAACAAAGAAAAAGTACTTTCAATCTCTTGGTTGAAGTCACTGTCTATCCCCCACCTACTGTTTGCTGCCGATAGGGGACAGTTCTCTAAAGAATGGCAAAGCCAGTTGCCATGGGGGTCCAATGGTGAGCTATATATGGCTTGCTATTGCTATATTTTGCCTTGTAGTTCCAAAAATTCTACTCCAGTGGTAAATTATATGGCTTGCTATATATCACCTATGCCTAAACTTAGCACTTAATATAGCACCTGGTTTACCTATAGGTAATATCTTTGTCTACATCTTGATGTTCTTATTTTATGCTCTCTCTGGTTTTAACTTTTAGTTTGTGAATATAGGTATATCATATCTTGAGAAGAAATAAGTCCGCACCCGTCTAAGAGAGGTGAGTATAGTCATGTATGTCTGCACCTGTGGTTTGATTCCTAGATTGTAACAGTTGTCATACTTCAAAAAATCCACACCCTTAATAACACATCATAAAATATCAATTAATGAAGCTCATGGATACATAATGTGGTAAACTGGCAGAATTTTCATCTAAATTCATGAATTCCTGATAATTTTAAGAAACATTTATATGGGTATTTTTTTTTATCTATTATTATTATTATTATTATTATTATTATTATTATTTTCAGATTTGGAGGTAATTTGGTAACTTTCTTTTTAATTTAGAGAATGAACTATTTAGGTGGTTGTTTATGAAAATTATTGCGCCCTTCCCTTATTTGGAATACCTTCACGTTCTACTTTGTCTTTGAAATGCTTGTTGGAATTTCTGGAAATTCTAGTAACTTTTTGGCTTTTTGGCTAAAATAGAGGATTCCCAAACGAGGCCTTAGTCTAGCAAGATAGTCTTATACTTCTATGTAAAGTTAGCTTGCAGAGACAACAATACAAGTTTAGATAATGAAATTTCTGGAAATTTCTCTTACATTTTTAGTGGTGGTGAGACTTCATTGAATCCTTCTAGATGAGATTCCTAGAAAATCTCAATGAGATTCAAAGGTTCTTCTTATATGTTTAAATTCCAGAAAGCCTCTGCATAAATAACAACCACATCTATCTTTTCTATCACCTTAATTGAGTCCTTAAAACCCGTAGACCTTGATCCAAACCCTAACCTTTATATTCTAACTCTTAAGACTTCTCTGTTGTCCAGAAAATTCTAGATTTACCCTACAGCCCAGAAAATCCGGTAACTTTTCTCCTTAAATTTCCAATTCAAAACGGCATCAAAGCTCAATCATTCTGACCACTATCTATGCTCAAACCCTCAATCCAATTTCCAAACCCTTGACCATTCCAAACCCACGATATTTAATTATAGGGCATCCTTAATCCACAGGGGCTAAGGAAAACGCTTGATGTTTTCTTCTTCTTATATTTGATAAGATATGTCACAAACTAACCTAAGAGGCAAAAAGCTCTGCATCATCATTTTCATGGTAAATTGATCCAGGTCGAACTTGACATGTAGACATCCTAGAAATTAAGTATAATAAGTCAGAAGAGAGAAATCAGATTGTGACAGCAGTATAGAACACTTGAGAAATAAAAACAAGATAATAATTTAATTGTGATCTAATTTATAATCCTCCGACACAATATTAGGAAATTAATTTTACCCAGCATCAGAATAAATTCCAAGCTTGAGGCCTTTATCATGTACATAGTCAACCACAGATTTAATTCCCAATGGAAAACTTTCTGAGTCGGGGACTAGTTGACCCTGCAAGACCAATTTACAATGAAAAATTTTTTATTGCATACCTGGCTTTAAAGTTCAGTTTCTACTATTTCTGAGCTTAACAACCAATATATTTATATCAAAACTGGCCTTTAGATCCAAAGTAAACATTACTATGTTTTAAAGAAAGAAACAATATTTTCCTAATAGACCGGAAGGTATATTGTTCAGTTCTTTTTTTAGTCCAATGGTGATGGACACAATGAGAGGATAGCTATAAAAGTGGGACTGACAATTCCAATCCCAAGTCTCTAGCACCACCACCAACAGACTTTACCAATTAAACTAGATGGAAAACATGGCATAAATGTAGTAGGATTTAAATTGACCTCTGAATTTCGTTCTTGAGCCGACCAACAATCATCTGATTTGAAAAAAAATTATTTAGTATGAAACAGAACCAAGTTATGAAGGGGAACAAAACAAATAGATCATGTGAATGAATACCTATGTTAACATAAACACAACCTAAATTAGCCAAATCAGTTGCGATAAGTGCATCAGCTTTCAAAGAGGAGAACATATGTTGGTATTTGTGACATTGAGTTTTTGAAAACAGGATAAATGAAAGGACATTTCTATTCACGCATTCAAATTTTAAATACTTTCAACAGTCCATAAGGGCTTTTGTTTGGGCAATAATAAGTGGTTGGTTCTCATGTGCAAGTTTTTAGGAGCCTCTGTTTTGTGTAAATAACGCCTCAACCCTCAAAGATCCTCAAATCAGAAACCCTCTGATATATAGAGTTACTGAAGTAGACAAAGAAAATAATCTTGTGAGGTGTATATGAGGTTTTCCTATCGCTTATATAATCTTGAAGGAACAAGTAAAAACTCAAGGTGATCAGTTGCAAACTCAAGGTATTCAGTTGCAAGCTCAAGATGCTGTAATAAACTCTTCAAAAGAGCAAGTAGCATTTTTGATGAGACAGAGACAATGTTCTAGTGGTTTGCAGGTATAACTACAAGTAAACATATTTATCTAAATGATGTATTTATCATATGTCATCCTTTTCTAAATTTATGCATACTCATGTAAACTTTATTGTATAAATTAGGCGACAGATGGATCTAGTGGCATTTCGAACCAGGCTTCTCCACAAATACATCAGAGATCCTCTTTTGGGAGTCATGAAATGCAACCTTTTAATCGGGGTAAGTCATCCTTACAATACACATACATTGACACAAATTTAGAACCAATGTTAATGACTTCTCTACCAATAAATTGTTAGTTGGGTTGGACAAAATTGGGATTTGATAGGTTGACTTTCTACTTTGCTTCCTTTACTGGTATCCGTAAAAATACCAAACAAACCAGTGAAATAGAGAATTGGGCAATCGAACAAATTTGAATATCAACAATGGATCAAACTGTAATATACAATTAAAAAATAGACCCTTGGATGTTGCTATTGGTTGCTTGATTTAGTGATTGTTACTAATGTTTGGCTTTATTGGCTGATTCAGTCCAAATGCCAACCTGTTGGCATCTTATCTTTTATTTAGATATGTTTTAACATCCTAGCTTTGGAGTCTGCCCTCAGGATATGTAAGGAAAGAGAGTCTTATATTCAAGGGCACATAGAAAAAATAGAGAGTATTATAGATAGCATGAGTAATAACTTCTTTTCATCTAAAAAAAAAGAACACTTGTTTGTAAGAGTCTTTCAATTGTAATGTTTATGTTTATGGTATATGAATAAAAGTCCATTTTCAAAACCGTTGTTCTTTCATAATATAATCCTCTTCTTGAGTGATACACTGACTATGAGAGATTGGGAGTAGGGTGAGGCAATGAGGCTATTAGTGATTACCTATAGGCAAGAGACCACTTGGGAAAATAGAAGCTGAAAGCAACATCCAAACTTAAAAGGCCTTGTGGAAGGTGTTCTTCATCAGAGTTCTATACTTAGTAGTAATAGCAGAGGCGAGGTGGGCACATATTTAGATATAATTTCTTAGACATTAATAATTGTTAGTTGCTTGTTTACATGTTCTAAGCCCTTTACATGTCTTCACCCATATCTAATCTTAGAAATCAACTTGCAGCGCTTAAAGAACAACAAGAAGAACTGACTGCACAAATTGAGAACAATTTGTTTCTTAAATCTTTATCCACCTTACACTTCTGCATTACTGTATTTTTTCTCTCCATTTGTTGTTGTTTTCTCTCTGAATGGCTGATCTATCTTAATATGCAAATATGATCTTCAACTTGAGTATGGTGATATTTTTTGATATGTAAACCACATACTTACCAAAAAGATAAGACTTGTCGAGAATTATTTGTAGTCTAAATTTTCTTTATAGATTTTCAAATTAAAAATGATACTTATGCTCATTCAATCATTTTTATTGTAGGAAATAAGACAACATGAAAGCATCAATCAATGGACCTCATTTCTCGATTTGAACATTTTTTATGGAGGTCTTTATAAAATGGCGTCATGAGTAATACTTTTGAGTACTATTGTCCTGTGACAAGTTTATATATACTTTTTAGATTATGGTGTGGGCTATTAGTTTGTTAGAAATATTGGATCTTTTTTGTATTACAGGCTTATGTAATGAACATTTAATTAAGGTGTTTTAGATATTTTGGGATTATAAAAATGCTGACTCTTTTACCTTTTACAATTATTGAGTATTGAGCCATTAGAATAAAATAATATTTTTATGGATATATAATGTGAGCAGGGATAAGTGAGAGACAACCATTAATGGTCAGTAAATCATTGAAAATTTCAAGCTATATATTATTGGTAATTGAATAGTAAACATAGCATATAACCGTGGTTAATAACTGCCGCTGCAAATAAAATTCAAAAAGAATTTTATGGTTATAGCGGTAGTGTAAAACTGATGGAATAGAGTCAAGATATAGTAGTGGTTCACAAAATGTCGCAAAAGTGAAGGATATAGCAGCGGTCGACCCGTCACTATAAAGTTAGCAAGTAATGGGTAAATTTAAGATATAGCGACATTTATAACTGTCATTACATCGGCCGTCGCGATAAAAATAATTATACCAGCGCTTGAGGAAAACGTCACTATAAGGATATGCCGACGGGGCTTTTGCGGCGGTTTGACCGTCGCTATTGCAACTGCGGGTAAAGATTTTCTAGTTTTTAGCGACGCTTTTTCTTGGCTTTAGCGGCATTTTGGGCCGCTGCTAAAAGTGAATTTTTTTGTAGTGCTCTCTCGCTTTTGTCTCCATCATCGTCGAGTATAGGAGCATCACGGCCATCTCACACGAGCACCACCGTCAATCCACCATTGGAGCATTATCCCAAGTATGTCCTCTCTCTATCTTTCAGTCTCTCTTCTCGTAATTTCAACCTCTAGGGTTTTCTTCTTCCATTTGCATACCTTCATACATATCCAACCCCAAATCGATCCACCCATCACCATTGATGAAAGATTGTTATTTTGGTTTTTCATTTTTGTATGCATATGTATATAAAATTTGAATTTGGGCATTGATTTCGACGAGATTGAAGAGGTTTTCCATTGGGGAAATTGTTGAGGTAGAGTTGAATATTAAACCAAAGTTTAAGAAGAGCAGTCGACAAAGGAGTTGAAGCTTTACTTGTTGCTCTGTTTTGATCTTAGGGTTGTGGGTTTGATGGCTACGTTTGTTCTTGTTTATTATTTAGGTTTTTATTTTTTTATTTTTTTAATGCTTCTGCTGTATTTTGGTGTTTCTGCTGTATTTTGCTGCTTCATTTGCTCATTTGTGTGAAAATCTAATCTAATTGGAGGTAAGTAGTGTGTGGCTTTTGACATGCTAATGAAGGAGCATTGTTTTGAATTTCAGCATAGAATTAAACATAAGTGAAATTAGAGATGATGTGAAACTTACTAATATAGATGCATATTGGAATTTCTTGATCTTCATTCTTAATCACTGTGCTCTGTACTTGATTTGGAATTTCTTTTTCTTCAATTTGGAGAAGCTTGCTATTATATTCGTTGATGGTTTGAATTACTTGACTGGATTTTGGAGAACTATAAGGCTCCTTGACTTAGTTATACCTTCTAAATGGGCCTACAAGTAGCAAAATAGTTCTTGGGTTGTATATTTCACTTTATTTGTAACATTGTAAGGCGTTGGAACGAGGTTTGAAGAACTCTATATTTGTTGTATGCATAAGATTACTTTTTAGCCCAATATACCTTATCCTTTTCTGCAACCCTGCAAGGAAGCTGCAGTCAGAAACTTAGCAAATAGAACCTAGAATAAATTCGGCTACCACCTCTTCAACTTATGGTTGCTTTCATTAAACAGAAGGAAGTTTCTCAAAAGCAGTATGAAAAGCTAGGATAATATGGTCTTAAGGCTCTTAATGGATCCCGCCACAATTGCCTTTGTCACTTCCATAATTTCCAGTGACTTTCGTAATTGCCCTCAGTCACCATAAACCAGTTGGCATTCATAGAAGCTTTAACATAGAATAGAAAAATGTTTCAGGGTAATTGATGAAGACAATCTTCTTTCAGTTATTTCTCTCATGTTTTATTTCTTTATTTATTTTTTGAATCTCTTGGTTTTCACATGAGACCTCAAAAATCATGGATTTATAATCCCATGACTTTAGTGGATTTTAGTTTCACGATTTGTCAAACCAGTTGGCATTCTTAGTTGGTGAATTATTTGGTCATGTATGGAAGAGGCAGCCTTGGGTTGACCTGAAGATTGTCAAGGTAACATTTACACATGGTAGTATATATATTTGATATGAAATGCTTTTCTTAGTTTTTAACAGATGACATAATTTCAGAGGCTTATTGAGGTATTTCAATAATCTTTTTAGTTACATTTCTTTGTTGTCTTTTGGTGTAGCAACTCATAGATGCACACTTATATGCATTACTTGGGAAAAGGACTGCAACAGATGATGAAAAGCCTATTAAAAAGAAGTGTGAGAAGCCTGTTAAGGTTGAGGTGGGCACAGTTGCATGCATCTTTGTTGCCCACAAATATTACTTATCAGTTGATTTAAAGTTTTCTCACGTCTTTTGATCTATTTTCATATAACCAGTGGTGAAGCTATCAAATAAATAGCAAGAATCATTTAGGTAGTCTTTGGATCAAGGATTTGATGAGGAATTTGTGAAGGGGAAAGAAGATGGAAGGGAAAAGTGAATTTAGCTTGTATTTCAATTGCTTTTCCCGTTGTTTTTCCTTTCCCTCCACAAATCCCTACTTAAATCTTTCATCAAAACACACCCTTAACTAGTTGAAAGTAATAATATAGGACTTCTTGTTTGGAAATAGGAAAGGAACTTGCTTGTGATGCAGAAGTACTCCGTGCACACCATCTTTCGTCCTAGCACAGAGGCATTGTAAGTCAGATCATAAAGTTAGCTTTGGAGAGTTGGCCAAAAAAATGCTAATGAGAATTCATAACATTTGGGGGAAAAAATAATATTCTTACATCATATTTGAATTGGAGTGATGGCCAGAAAATTCAGAGACCCCACCTACTGAATTCTCCCCCCCCCACACACACACACACACACACACACACACACACAAAAGAGAGGATGTAAGTTATCCTTTCAATTATCATTGAACATGTCAAACATTCTATGCTACTTTTTGATGTTATGGAGACACCAGTCAAACACCACCAAAAATTGTAGAGCAATACTTAGTCGAAAAAGGGTGTTCCGGGGCAAAAATTCAAAACAGCCCCCAAACCACCATGTGAATCTCACAGACAGTTTCCCCTTGACAAATAGGACTTGTGATAACTAACGGAATGTAATTCAGACCAGTAGGTTGGGAGTTAGAGCCGAAAACACCTTAAACTTAGTCAAAAAAGGGCGTTTCGTGGTTGAAAATTCAAAACAGCCCCCGAACCGCCATGTGACTCTCACGGACAGCTTCCCCTTGACAAATAAGACTTGTGGCAACTGATGGAATGTAATTCGGATCCGTAGGTTGGGAGTTAGAGCTGAATACGCTTTAAAACTTAGTTGAAAAAGGGCGTTCCGAGGGTGAAAATTCAACACAGCCCCCGAACTACTGTGTGGTTCTCACGGAAAGATTTTCCTTGACAAATAGGACTTGTGACAACTGACGAAATGTAATTCGAACCTATAGGTTGAGAGTTAGAGCCAAATACGCCTTAAACTTAGTCAGAAAAGGGCATTTTGGGGGCCTCTTACAAAAAGCTTCCCCATGACAATTACGACCTATGACAACAGACGGAATGTAATTAGGACCCGTAGGCTTGGAGTTTGAGCCGAAAACGCCTTAAACTTAGTCAAAAAGGGCGTTCCGAGGGCGAAAATTCAAAACAGCCCCCGAACCACTGTGTGGCTCTCACGAACAGCTTCCCCTTGACAAATAGGACTTGTGACAACTGACAGAATGCAATTTAGACCCGTAGGTTGAGACTTAGAGCCGAATACGCCTTAAACTTAGTCAGAAAAAGGGCGTTCCGTGGGCAAAAATTTAAAACAGCCCCTGAACCACCTTGTGGCTCTCACAGGCAGCTTCCCCTTGACAAAAGATGGAATGAAACAAAAAACAGAAGAAAAATAAATTTGGTAAGGATGCTTCATTGCATTGTTTGGAATCGTTTTGGATCGTTTTCCCAAAATGCATGACTTGTTTAATGCTAGACTTAAGTCCTTATTTTTTTTTGTGAATTTCATTTTCCCCGAAGGAAAAACATGGGAAATATATGATTAGAGGATATGATTAGATACAAGTCTTTGTTTAACTTTGTAAAACCATTTTCCATACTTGCATTCTATAGGTTCACCTTCTAAATAGGACAATTACCCAACTTGCAGGAATGGTTTGATTTTCTTTTATATACTCTTCTTATTTGCTTGATTTGGATCTTCTAACATGTTTTTTAATTATGTGGTTCATGGAAACTGAGTTGATGTTGAAGAGCTCCCTCCGCAGTAATGCAGAGAAGTTTGAATTTCAGGTTGAGGTGTCTTGGCTTATGGACATCATTATCAACTCACTTTACAACAAGAAAGATACCTTCTTTAGGGAGTTAATCTCCAATGCTTCTTATGCAAGTGTATTTTTCCTTGGAAATTTCCTTAACAATGATATGTTTATATCTATATTATGTTAGGCATGAAAGAGGCTGGTTTCATCTTTTGCTATTATCTTCTAACATGTTTTTTAATTATGTGGTTCATGGAAATTGAGTTGATGTCGAAGAGCTCACTCCACAGTAATGCAGAGAGGTTTGAATTTCAGGCTGAGGTGTCTTGGCTTATGGACATCATTATCAACTCACTTTACAGCAAGAAAGATACCTTCTTTAGGGAGTTAATCTCCAATGCTTCTTATGCAAGTGTATTTTTCCTTGGAAATTTCCTTAACAATGATATGTTTATATCTATATTATGTTAGGCATGAAAGAGGCTGGTTTCATCTTTTGCTATTGGCCGAGTGATATCGATCCAAGTTGAACTTGGAGCAAATTATACTTGTCAAGGGAGTAAAGTGAATTTTGCCCAACAAAAAAAAAAAAAAATCAAAATTAATTCTATTGTGTAAATTATGTACCTCATATTATGTTGTATTATTATGCGATATCTGGAATTTTCTGGAATTTTATTTTCGTTCATTAGTTGTTGATCACATTAATTGTTCAATC